TTGCCTTCTTCTGTGTGTGAATGGGGTAATTGTTGGGATGCCACGGAGAAACCGGGGAAGCCCCCGGAGGAAAACTCCGTGTTGCCTAGACCACGGCCTTGCCCAACACAAGTTATAAATTCGGGCACCGCCCGGAATCGAACCCGAGACCCCAGGATTACAAGGCCAGCGTTCTAACCGCTAGACCACCGTGGCTAGCGTTACGTATTAACACAATGAAAATACTTAAGACAAAATTTAATAAATGTGGATCATATTTTCATAATTCTTCTTATCTACCATCTTACAGTTTTGTACCAACACCTGTGGTCTCTCTTTGAGCATTTATTCTCCATCGAAGTAAACAGAAGGGCCACTGTTCTGAACATTTCTAAGGCAAAACAGCGTAAAAGTGAATAAATGAGATTAACGTTATTCGATTACACACCCGTTCTCTACATACGTTATTTCACTACGAGTGTGCAGCATAATGTGATTTCTGCACTTTTGCTATCCGCGATTAATATCATTATTATGGGGCGCATCAGTATGCTATCGGCGGCCAAATTTTAAAGCGTCGAAACCTCTCCAGGCTTATCAGGAAATCTGATACAGACTATAAACTTTACATCAAAGAATTCTAGCGCTAATTTAACATCAAAGTGGCGATTATTATAATTTTTATTTCACGTCTATTCGTTGTGAGCGGCGATTCGGAGAACCCAACCCCCGTGTATAACGAGAGTTATCTGTAATAAGTATAAACCAGTTTGATCTATTAGTATCATAAAGGGAGACAAAAATGCAATTGCCAAATAGAGTGATATTATAGAATAACGATGCGTGTATCCTGTGAAAAATGTAGGATCTAACACGTTTCGGTACCATGTTAAAGCCACATTTTAAAACCATTATCGAAATTAACTCACTAAAGAATGATTTTCATTTGAGTACATTACACATATTTTTTCGGCGAGTAGTATTAGGACGAGCCCCCAGGGAGAAATGGCACTGTTAACCTTTCGTGACATGGCATTTGCAATCGACTGTGCGAGGTCCAAACTACATCCTGCCATCAATTTTATGCATACCCTTCCACCCCCTATCTCTTTCACGTCGCCCAAAGTTATACAACCCCCAGCGGTCAAGCTCCCTAACGTTTCTGGGCGGCTAACCGGACAGTGCTGCCAGCCACAAACGCCCATTTTTCAGACATATTCTTTCATTTAACCTTCTCATTAGATCTCTTTCAAAATTACGCAATTCAATTCAATTCGTCGATCTTGTTCGATGTGTCAACTCCTAATGAGCGACAATGATTTTAGAGATTTATATTTTATCAACTTTTTAAACACTGTACTTGCAAGAAAGAAATAATAACTATATAATTACACTTAACTCCGAGCAGATGCCGACATCAGAAAGAAACAGTCACTCAACTTGTCAAGAAATTTCCTGACATTCAAAAGACCCGGCCACTGGACTTCAACATGCAAGATGAATCCACGAAGGCTCTCCACACATCTCACATTTATACAACATATACACTTCACTTTCCAAACTACTGATGAATTTCGACGATACTTCGTATGACAGATAATAATTAATCGATTGTCTGCCTGATGTAACTTTTGTTCATATCCATCAATTACGTTACTACTTCGTTGAAAATACAAAACGTGTATTATTCTAATCCTGACTGCTTATTACCGATATTAAAGTTCGGGACATCAAAATAAAATACGCTGAACACTCATTACTTTTTAGTTTTAATCTAAATATATATTGAAGTCTGTATTACCCAGTCTGTTCCAGATTTTAACTATTACAATAAATTATTTAGTTCTTAATACCACATAACGAATAGCCACGGTGGCCTTGTAATCCTGGGGTCTCGGGTTCGATTCCCGGCGGTGCCCGAATTTATAACTTGTGTTGGGCAAGGCCGTGGTCTAGGCAACACGGAGTTTTCCTCCGGGGGCTTCTTCCCCGGTTTCTCCGTGGCATCCCAACAATTACTCCATTCACACACAGAAGAAGGCAATGGCAAACCACTTCTGGATCATCTGCCAAGAACGTATATGAACAGGTCCCAGTCCGAGAAAAGGATCCTGTTCATATGGACCTGTCGTCAGACAGGAAGAAAAGAAAAGAAAAAGAAAAAAAAAACAAACATAACGACACTTTTTCTGAACAGAATTTATGATAATGTACAATTGCATCTGTTGGGCGTATGATATAGCGACAGATTATGGTAATTATATTTTTAAAATCGTTATATGCAATTAGTCTGCAAGTACATATATTTTAAATAACGCGTCACTTATGCACTTATATCATTCCCAAGCGAATCACATAAACTTAAAATCGTGAACGTATTGCAACTGCGTCAAACGTGTTCTTTACTTAAACATTCATTTTCTGGGAGAAATAAAATTTGAAGTTCACTGTAAAAAAAAAAAAAAAAAAAAAAAAAAAAAAAGTGGGTGGAGTAATGAAGTGAGGCTAACCTGACATGTCGACAGGGGTGGAAAGCTGCTGGGTTGTCCTGGTTCGAGAATTTGGGGAGCGATCCTTGCAGCAACGCCAGTCGAAACACCAACAACAGGCTTAACTGCAAACAAGAAACAAAAATGTGTTACGGTTACACGTTTCAAACTCTGGAACTTTAACTAGAACCAATGCATATTCATACGGGCGAATAAATCGTTAATCTGGACGCAGCGTCGCGTAACTTGTATTTGAAGCAAAAGATAATCCACGCAAGATAAACGATGCGAAATCGAAGGCCCGTACTGAGTGGAACAAAAAACCTATTTTCTTTATTGAGATACAACACAAAACACGGCTTCCCATTGCTTCCATCAGCTGGTCTTCATGTGTGCTTCAATTATTTGCCTGCCTACACAGCTATAGGCAAAGATGGATCTAAACAAATCTGTGCCAGAAACTTTGAAATAAACATGAGAGAATCATGCATGAAATTACAGCAATATTATGGAAATCAAATTGTTTACTTTGTAATAAACGGAATACATTTTCAGCAGGGCACAGATGTACTATAAAAGCACAGATAAAAACTTAATGTAAATCAATATTATGCTGGATATTGTACACTGGCTAAAATACATTTTGTATCACGACGTTTCGGTAGATGTCTCTATTCCCGTCTTTAGTAAATGTCGCTATACTGATAATTAATATACAAATTTAACGATAAAGGATTTTCGTGACGGTAGTTGACACTTAAAATTATTCATTGTTAGGACTTTAAAATCACGACGTTTCGGAGAATGGTTCTGTCACCGTCTTCAGGTGAGAGGTACCTACTCTGTTGGGTCCCTTAGATATAGCTAGTCTCTGTCACTGGACAATAATACAATAATATAACAATAACACTGGATATCGTCCAGTGACAGAGATTAGCTCTAAGGGACCCAACAGAGTAGGTACCTCTCACCTGAAGACGGAGACAGAACCAGCCTCCGAAACGTGATTTTAAAGAACAGACGATGGAAAAAGTCCTGACAATGAATAATTTTAAGTATTAATATACTAGCCGAGTATTCAAGACAGCCCGGGTTGAATCCAAATTGTAGCCATTAAACTCATATTCAAATTCGACCCGAAATTTTCACTGATTCTCTTAATCAAAATTGTGGATAGGTGTCATTTTTGCTTACTCACTTAATCGGTTTCGAGAAGTTGAAAGATCAACTGAACAATTTTATAAGCAAGCATCCTTTAGCGAAGATTACATCTATGAAACGTCAGATGGGCGCAATTGTTCTGTAGAGTCATATCCAGTAAATTATCACTATATTTTTGCACCGATTTTGCGATTACATGAACCGAAAAATGTAACACGCATAGTTACAGAGCCATAACTAAGCACGTTTAGTTAAACAACTGTCATTGGACAAAACTTTTTAGTCTACTAGATAAACTGCCTTCGTGATAAATTCTTTTAGAAATATTTCCTACGAACACATTTTTCTCGGGATATTGGCCGTGTAACATAGCTGTCATAAAAACTGATGCCTCGGAAAATATCGCAGCGTATACCTGAGGTTTACTGACATCACCACATCCCAGGGAAACACAGCCACTGGAATAGCGCCAGATCGCTCGAAACTGTACGAAATGTTGGCTTTTTTATCTAACAGGTTATACGTTCTTTTGGGGGGGAGCACTGAAGTTAAGTATAACTAAATTCGGGTAAAAATTATACGGATTCATCCACCAAGAATGTATCTCAAATTAGTCTACGTGTAGAAATGAAGAAATTGTTCGAAGTTTTTTGTGGTGACTAAATGCGCAGAAATTTTCTTAGGCAATCAGCCAGCGTCGATACGGAATAAAAATCACAAGACTCGGAGACGCTAGCCCAGTGACATGAACACTACAAGACGATGGCAAGACACAGGGACCATGAATTTAATGTCGACTTCCAACAACAATGTTGTTGCAGGCTCATGATGAAAACGGATGAGATGGGAGAGGCATGTAGCAAGAATGGTTGGGATGAGAAATGCTTACAGAATTTTAGTCGAAATACCTACTTGGAAGACTTAAGTTTAGGTGACATGATAAATATTTTTTTTCCATAAAGGAGTGACATCTGGGCCTGTGGTCTATGTCATGTCTCACAACAGGATCCAGTTGTGAGCTTTTGTGAACAATGTAATGAACCTTCCGGTCCATAAAGGACGGGAAATTTCTGGATCATCTGATTGGCTGTGAGCTTTACCAGACGGCTGTTATATTATTAATGTTTGGATATCGGCTCATATATAATGGCTACTTATTACATTAAACATAATCAACCCCAAAACGTAAGAACTAAATTTAATACAAATTTAGATATGCAATTAACACATTTCAGTGAGTACATCCCGTGAAATAGGCCACAGAATTTACTTCGCGCAAAATTTGGTGGTTATACCAGACTCATGATAGTGTTAACCGGTGTAACGCTTGATAATGAGGTTTAGATAAAGCTAGGAGAGCTTTCTCCCTGACACCCACGCAGAGCATTCTGCTTGCAACCGATAGCTCTGCTCACGTCAATTCGCACAAAAAATTCCCGATGATCGTTACCCGAGCAATAAACGTTCAATAAAATACACGCTGTGCTACTTCGATATGACGTAATTAATTACACAATTTATTTGTCTGGTGAAAAAGACTCCGACATGCAAAGTGATAAAAACTAGATATTAAATACTAATATCCTACAGTATAATCAGCTTTAGGATACGAATTCAGATTAAACACGAAAAGGTTTTTACGATCTTCTAGGCAGATAAAGTTTCGGAGCTACATAATGCCTCCAGCTTCAGGATAGAAGCCTCCGAAATGTTGGTACCTATCTGCTAGTCCACATCGCCAAGGCTAAAATCTCAAATCTCATATAATTGAAGCAGTGTTTCTCTTAGCACACTGTCAATAATATGCATAGATAAATAGAATCAGTTTTATGACAGTTAACATTGAAATTCATCAGAATATCAAAATTACTGTCGCATCTCACAACCAGTTTCTGAGCTTCCAATTATTTTTATGCCATATTCGGTCCAGCATATGAATATTTTTACAAATGCAAAGCTCGTTATTTTATGACATATTTACGTAACGTACGGACGGAAAAATAACAATAACTGACATACTGTATATTTACAGCTTACTCAAATACAAATATATCTTAACAATACAGCAGAAAATGTTACGTAACATATATGCAAACTCTGAATGCTAGAGCAGATTATGATCACATTAAAAACTCTCACATATACATCCTCGATATTTAAAAAACAATTATTTTACTAAGTCAGGAACACATCTCATTCTGTTCCTTACAAAATCAGTCCAATTCATTAATTTATGTGCTTTGAAATAGCAAATAATAATAATTTCTACGTACTCGAGACAAACCATGCCTCTGAAGTACATAGTGCAGCAGCTATTTCCGAAATACTTTTTGTTTTTCATATGTGTTACATGTATTATATAGTTTTATTGTGAGGGATAACTATATATTTTCCATTTATTATTATTATTATTATTATTATTGTCATCGTCATCATAATCATTATCATTATCCTATTGTTATTATATCAAGATATGTTAACCAAAATGTATCAGACGGACAAAATAAGGACGCTTGTCATTTGTTTCATTCTCCGATCAACCCATGCGAGCGGCCAGAATCCCTTCACTTAAACATTACTTGGTCATGACACGCGACCCATAAACAGTTAACCACATAATGACACAACTAACCTAATGGTCGGAGAGCGAAGTGTCCGATCATATCTCCACTGCTGTTCCTGACTGTGGCGATCAGTAAACTCGTCACCCACTACAACCACCACCACATCACATGTTGATACAAGCGTCCTCTATATTCACCGCTACAGGAAAGTTCATTCCCTAACACCAATTGGTTGGTTTAAATAAATTTCAAAACCATTTCGACATTCCCTCTTCTCCTGTTCCATATTTTCCTAGTTCTAAGCGATACCTAATGACAGACATGCAATGTTTTACAACGCTTGATATGATTTTGATTGATTCTTTAGCACATACTATTTACATTTGACATTAATACCATAAATCATAACAAATATATTGGTTTAAAACGTAATGAAAACTTAAATTAATTTTCTGACAGTAGTACATCGCAGAACCTAACCTGACCCAGTTATATCAATGACTTATACATCTAGCTTCGCGTAAAAAAATATAGGCCACTTCCGGGTACTTTTTTTTTTTAAATTTTGGATCGAGAAGACGAATATAGACAGGGAAAATACTGTCGAGATTCAGTTATTAAAGTAAAGTAAACATCTGTACAACGCTAGAACTAATTACAAGTTATCTGAGAGACGATTTGCATTCGGTATATCCTCGTTACATACATGATCACTTATAAAACCTTAATGTAAGTGAGAGGTTAATATTATAATGGATCTCACAGAAAAGCAGCTTAATAGATGAAGTAGATTATGTCTTAGTGTAGATTCAAGAGTTATGCTTCTTTCGGGTACCATAAGCGCACGGAATTTCTTTGCCAGATGAGAAAACATCAATTTACCATAGATGAACTTGCACCATTAAGTTACTAAAGTAAAGTTTGTCCCACTATACGCCATGTAGGCGTTTGGGGTGAGTGGAGGTACAGCTCCTCTCTTACTTGACCTCGGCACTAGGTGGGGGTGAGTGGTCAGCATCACGCCCCGGCCGGCTTTACCCCCGGTAAAGGACCCCGAGGACCCCGGTACCCATTGTGGAGGAGGCTGGGTGGGCCCCAGAGCCGGTCTGGACGCAGAGGCCAGAGGAAAAATCCTCTGGTCGGGGATCGAACCCCGGACGTCCAGCCCGTAGCTAGTCACTATACTGACTGAGCTATCCCGGGTCATACCATTAAGTTAGTAGATAGAGTTATCACCTTACATGTTTTAATATTAAAGACTTGTAACTTAGTAACGGTAGGCGTTTCTAAACTCTGTAACAGTGGCTCTTCCTAATTCCATCTCCCCTCAATTTCGACGTTAGCCTGTTTATATTTGTTAATGTTACTTCATGGTATATGATTACGTAATATATACCAAGCACTCTAATTATATACTGCACATACATTTTAGACGTCCACCAGTGTGACAGGGTAAATTATACTTCCGTGTCAGGGGAAATTTACGTCTTATTACACGGCATAAACGTAAAATGTTTCACGTTCTACTGCAAAGGTAACACATTATCTCGATCTATCGGGGCACTAATGCGAGCGGCCACTACAAGCCACACGAGCTCTTCCTGTTGTATTATATCACATACGGAAGGGAAATTAATTATTGAGAAGCTGACAGTTATTCAGGTAGTCAACTATCTACCATTTCCGGAATTCGGTACAATATTGAGTGGATTCGTTTTTGTGAATTCTCATTGGCAGTGGTACACGTCTCTTCTTTACTTAATTATCATAATTATCGTATATTACGTAAGGTATCGGTACGTTATCCCCGTGTTTGATTAAACATTACGCCACGAAGACGTATGGAGCGTGGAGGAGGCAATAAGTCCACGACTGTAATCTTGAGACTTGCGGAGTCAGGAAGTGGGGTGAATCTAACAATAAGATGGAGTACATAAAGCCAATGATATGAAAACCCCATCGTAATATAAGAAATCCTGACTTCACCTTTATAATGGAATTATACAAACGAAACACGATATGTAATCGGATATTTTCTGATAGATGGTAATGTCATTCTTCTGTCTTCAAGCGTAATGAATTTTGAAGTACTGTCAGCTGATGTGCGTTAGGTGAAAATGTGCCTGTTTGTTACGCTATACGAAATGGCTGAACCACTCATTCATAATAATTTTTGATATTTTGGATTATAACAGGATTTAAATTGCATTGCCTAAGAAGGTCAACAAATGTTAAGCTCAGTTATATATTCCACTATCTTTACGGAAATAAATCGTAACTTACGTCAAAGGAATCGATATTTTCGTTCATACTGTTGATTTATTCCAAATTTAAGGTCATGGTTATTACATAAAAGCAGCCAATCCACCGTCAGTATTAAACAGAAACCTTGCTGTTTTGAAGTTCCAATATCACATTCTTGCAACAATAAATTCAATATTTATCACAAAACAATAAAACATGTTTTAATCATCAAGGCATAAGACACACACTTAAATATTATATTTATATAATACACATTGCATATTAAACATACTATCCGTTCATTTCTCTTTCTCATTTCTTCCATACGAGATACATACATACAACGTGTTTTTACCTATTTGAAAAGCAAATTTCCAATTAGTAATGTATTATTATTAAAATAATGATGCTTCATAAGACAAATTTACAATCAGAAAGAAACAACTTTACGTGAAACAATATTTTATGCTTTTACCAATCCTTGATATACGCAGTGCATTCAGTTTTTCAGACAGTGTATATAAATTGTAATCATATAACATATAAATCAGTTCTGAAGCGAGAAGTTCATACATGTATTGCACGCTGAATTTACTGAAGTGTAAAAAATTACAAATCATAGTGTCGTATCGGGCGGAACACTCGCGGAACACGGCAGCACTGTGGTTGCAACGATCGACAATGGATTATACTCGAATACTGCTGAAATATTAATTTAATTTACGCGTAAATGCACTGATTAATTAAACTTTCATACAAATTACAAATTTAATGGATACTAAGTGTTTGTGGTTTTGTTACGATCGAAATATAGATTTAGGCGGTATTATAGCATTTCAATAAACGAATTTTCATTTCTATTAATATAATAAAACACTGTTTGTAGTGGGCCGACTATAGAACACAACAACAGAAACGTTATTCTCTAGTTTACAACAGACGTTTTAAGGTGTAGGATTCTCTAGTTAGAGCTCATATATTCTCCAAAACACTTTCTTTTTCATTCTGTATACCACATTGTTCTTGATTTCACTTCTTGCAAATATCAACAGATTATCAGAAAAGTATTACTATAGTTGAGGTGGTGTCTTATTGTAACTGAAACTGCCAGCAAGCCTATGATAGTCCCTACGATCCATATACGCATTATTCTCCTATCAATTCTGTTATCTGAACGTTTTTAGATTACGATCTGCACCCACTTTTGATTTATTCCATGCGTGCTACATGCCACGCCCATAACAGTGGGTAGGGGAAGGATATGCGGTATTTTGGCCGAACAACCTGAATAAAAGAAACCGCTTGGGAGAGGTAGTAGAAGACAAAGGATAATATTAAAATTATCTTAAAGAAATGTAACGCGACGTTGTGAAACAGGCTTATCTCCTTTGGGATAAGAACCAGTGGCGAACTGTTTTGTATTTACCCACCTGTGTACTGTATCCCAACACACCACGTCTCCACCAAGACATGCTTCTCTGAACCAATTTACTTTCATGATGGAGTAAAAAAAATCACATTTTTTTTTAAATATTCCAGAATACTTACCAGTATTTTGCTTTAGATATATTTTATCTTAATGCCACAGGATATAGTATCATTATTCGATTCCCCAGCTCACAAATAATAAAAACCAGTCTTAAAGTATAAAATATTTGCGTGAAATGGGACCGAGTTGAAGTTGGATACACTGACGACGTTTCAGAGATTGTAAATGTCTCAGTCTTCAACTCAGGCCTGCAAATAAAGTTGTACCATTATTATCGACAGGGATCAGAGGGTACCCATTTTGATATGCAGAGATATTTACGATTTCCGAAACGAAGACGTATGTTTCCTGGGTTGTAGCGCCGTGTAGTCTGGAAGTAGGAGTTTACCGACTATTCAGCAATGCTTACTACCGCCATCATGAGCACGATCAACAAGACTACACTTTTCAACACCATAACGTCAGCCATCTTCATGTATTGTTACATTTCAGGGCAATCATTTACTCTCTGACACTAAGTCACTACGTCACTTAAGATTAGGACCAACTGTACCTATCACTAAAATGCTAAGTTCATTACATTTTCAGTATCACTAAGTCAGTATGTGGATTACACAATGCGATTTTTTCTCGAGAACCAGTTCCAAAAGAAAATGCGTGGAATTTGGATTGAGTAAACAAGTCGCTTTATGGGCCATCCGATGTTATGGGTTTGACTGTCAGATAAGGGTAGTCTGCTAGAGCAGTGTTTGCTATGCGGTTGGACAGCCCGAAGTAGGATACGGGTAATGGCGGGACATGACGAATAATTTAGTGCTGTTTTCTGCTCTACTTCTCGTCTTTCATATTCCCACGAGTTGGGTCGTACATCGGGAAGGGCTACGTTTTAGGGCCTACCGTCACAGACATAGGTTGTAGGGAATTACAGGAGCTTCGGTCCGAAATCCCCTGCTGTCCAACCAAGAAAAATGTCGGGGTGGACGTTTCCAAATACGTTTATAATTGTATGATTTGAGGTTTTCACAGGGGTGAGTATGAAGAATTTTATCTACTGGGTTGTTGCAAATTCATCGCCCTGATGACGGAGGCAGTATGACCTCCGAAACGTTGGTTAACATCGACCAGACTACACAGCGTAACAATCCAGAAGACAGAAATCTTCATATTCATCACCCTGATGACGGAGGCAGTATGACCTCCGAAACGTTGGTTAACATCGACCAGACTACACAGCGTAACAATCCAGAAGACAGAAATCTTCATATTCATCACCCTGATGACGGAGGCAGTATGACCTCCGAAACGTTGGTTAACATCGACCAGACTACACAGCGTAACAATCCAGAAGACAGAAATCTTCATATTCATCACCCTGATGACGGAGGCAGTATGACCTCCGAAACGTTGGTTAACATCGACCAGACTACACAGCGTAACAATCCAGAAGACAGAAATCTTCATATTCATCACCCTGATGACGGAGGCAGTATGACCTCCGAAACGTTGGTTAACATCGACCAGACTACACAGCGTAACAACCCAGAAGACAGAAATCTTCACGTTTATAATTTCTTTTCCAACTTACCCGAGTTACATAAGTTTGTTCAATAAAGAACATAAAATGAAAATTAAAGAAAAGGGTAAATATGATTGTTTTATGCGATGTTGTATCATTAAATTTCGAAAAAATAGATCGACGTTCCATCATGAGGGAAACGATCACATGACGCAACATTCAGGAAGACAGTGGCCTTCATACTCACCATCTCCAGAACGTGAATATCATACAAAGAGAATTTAGAATCGCCCATAATTTTAATTGAAAAATACGAATAAAATTTACAACACATTACATGTTTAAGCAACGACATTTACATGTTTTGAACGTATTAAAATGTAGGTCTGTATGAGACTATTCTATATGCGGGTTTTATAACTTGAAGCAAAGAGGAAATGTTATCTCGTTCATGTGTGTGTTTATCCACGGTAAGTCAGACGTAATTTTCTAATATGAAGCACTAGGAATAACACGGATTCTTAAATGAAGGGTAAGAATGAACCACCTGAAAAACTACATTGCGTCACAACCCAGCATACCACAATATTATTAAGCTATTTTATTACTTCGGTAGAATATAATTTATGAAAAACCCGTATGAAGGACAGGCGTTTCGCTAGCTTCGTATTTTTAGGATGAAGTGTACTTACCGACATGAGGACTTTCGCCGCTCTTCTCGAGAAATGCAAAGTCTCTTCATTCCACCTGACTTCTAAAAGGCTCCTATAAACACACAAGAAAGCGAAAGCACAATTAGGTCCACACTATAAAATATATCAGGAGAGGAAAAATAGTCTCGAACTTGCGTACCAAGATTACATGTAAATTACCTGCAACATAGTTTAAGCGAACAAAGAAAGAACAAATGAAGTCGTATGTTTTATGGTCGAACGATAGAAGAGGCGGTAAGAACTTGGAGTCTTCATCAGGCTGCACAGTAAGAGTGGTGTACAGCTGCCGGAAGGAAATTAACCTTTTGAAAACCAATTCCCATATCGATTATTCAGATTAGTTTTGCAAGTCGAGATTGTATTCTGGAGGTACCCGATTCAAATATCGACTGTGCTAGACTATCCTCAATAAAGACCGCGGTAATGTGGATTTTGAAGCGGTGTAGTAGGTAGTTACTAACGTTACAGAGAAATGAATTATCTCTCTTATCATGGCAGGAGATGAAAGTGACACGTTCCTCCAAGACACACAGGGAGATTGCATGGCGCACCGATATCGCCCTGAAGTTCTCAAACTTCGTTATATATCCGAAATAACGGTAAATATATGGAACGTCGGAAAAAGATCTGATATTTGAGGTGTTCACGGAGTGAAGATATTACTATGGTATTCGGGGTTGTGACGCCACTGTAAGATCACAGTAACAATATTATGGCCTAAATCTGCCTCTGAAGATTGAAAAAAACCAATGAAAACATAGACTCCGTTCTTAGAATCTAACTTTAAATATACCGCCAAATAAATATAACCCACAACAATCTATGCGATACATTACATAACTATCTCCCAACATACAATTACGTACCTCGATATATTTCACATACTCGTTTTTGGTTCATTACGCGTGCTGCATTTCCCGCCAATCTCATTACCACTGTTATCACAGTTCGAAGAATCTCAGAAAAAAGCGAAAATTACGAATTTCTTTGTATGCAATTTTCTCCGCCCACTTACAAACGTTTCTTTCCATGCACAAATATATTCTCAAATGACTGCTTATTAATTATATAACGATAAAATTTCATTTGTTCTTCTTGCTACCAAAATCACACCTTACAAAGACCAGTTAGTAATTCTAAAACTTTTCTTGTAACAGAGGCTAATACAATATTCGAACCTAATTAATAATTCTGTGAACCTTCAGTGGGTCTACCTAGTTTCATCGTATTTTGTACTCGTGACTGACTCAAGCGTATTTACGTAAGCCATTATAATATTCGGAGAATAAATTCTGTCAAACAAAATTACATAGATAATATAAATCACAAATTTGTCGAGACACGCACCGACAAATATTCGCGATATTTCTGCTGCGCTAGTAGATACGGATGACATATTACGTCAATACCACTGCCAACAGAACCACCAATGTTCCTGTAACTGGAATTTCGAATTCTCTCTTTATAGGAATGTGGTTAAAGTATTGGAAATTTAATATCCCCCCCACCCCTCCACCCAACCGACACGTAACAGGAATGCTCCAGAGTCGACGGTGTTCATTGTTCCAATATTATTCGCGAGTAAAAGAACACAGACACATGCAATGAGCAGTATTTATGCAGCTCTAAAAGGCACACAAAAACCAATAAATTAAGAAATGCATAAAGTGTACTAGCAAATAGTTCATAAATACACAAGGCGTTAATGAAGCAACAAGAAGTGCCGGCAACTTTCCATGTTTTTGGCATCAGGTCCCTTTACAAGTCATGGGAACTTCCTGTGTAAGCTTCAACTAAAGAAGTATTCTACTGGATCAACAACTTTTTTGAAGAACTGTAGTACCTAATTTAACCAAAATCTTTCGGTAGTTTAAAATGAACACGTAACATATACTCATATACATGATCTACCCACAATGCGTTTATTTTATGTAGTTTATCCAAAATAATATATACGTCTTTTGAAGTTATAATGTCTTTCTGTATACTTGTGTTTAAAGAAACTATTTATAAAATAACAGTACCACAGTTCAATTTTTCATCTCAAAGAAAAAGTATCTTCTATTACATATCACAAGATTGTTTATACGTGTACTGGGGAGCCAGAACTTTTTCTGTGTAATAAAGTCGAGATGTACCGGAAATTATAAGAGAGAATGGTCTTCAGTAAATAAATTCTTTACGCGTATCCCTCAACAAGGAACAGAGCAGTGTGGCTGTTGACTCCGTTTTGCTGGGCTAAGGTATCAGGATAAAATATTAAGTGGGGTAGCTACGTTCAGCTCGGGCCGTAAGACGGTGTAATTGAAATTCTTGGTTGTTGGCTTGTGTAAAGGTGAACCTGGGGCAGAACAAAACAAATGACTAATAAATGTGCTGAAGAAGAAAGGGAGAGAATTTGCTGATCTAGTTACTTAACAGGGCTACATGCTTACAGACGGAAGGTATTCCCTATTTACGGAAAATTCACGTGTACTGTCAAAAGGACAAAAGCTTTTATGTCTTAAAATAAGAAATACAGATACTTAATGAGGTCTACAGAATGATATCTCAGCCGATGTTATACTGAATGGTTAAGAGAACTGAGTTATTCCACTGTGTAGTATCTTCCATCAATGTTCTATTTGCTTAGCCTGCCAACAAATTCCCTGCATTTAAGATACCGGAAATTTAATTTCCGTGTCGACAAAAGCCCACCACTGGACCCCATTCAGACTATAATTTCTTCATTTGTATTCTCATGTCCTATTTGTGTGCGAATATCATCACTTAATCTTTCAATGCTCTGAAAATAGAGGCACACGTTCCTCCGAAACGTTGGTATCTTCCTACAATTCCATATGTCATTACTACCTAGACGACTAACATTGGCATCGTCATGGCTGTGAAAACCTCAAATCTCTAATCGTTGTGTTGTCATGAGTAAAAGAGCGACAGGTGTATATTTCGGTAGATCCGAAACAGTGTATTCAAGAATCCATTTAAAAAGAAAAAGAGTTACAGAACGGAGGAATAAAGGAAAGTGACATCGAGGGAGAGAATTAAATAAAGAAACAAATATAAAAACTTGTAAAAGAATAACTGACAAACAATAGTGCAAACCGTCACGATTGATCGGAATTCTGTTAATCGGGTGAAAGCAAAGAAATAAAGTACGAAGTGTATTCTAGGAGATCGTCGGCCAGAATCTTAAAGAACGACTAAGTCTTTAATGTCGGAAGTTGCTACGTGTAAATACGGGGATAGGACTGAAGTGAGTCACTGCAGTTTGTTATATTACAAAGAAATGTGATTACTACATTTATTTCTGTATTCTCACAAATGGGTCAACAATTCCTTTGGCAATTCTTAAAATATGTAATTCACATGGAATATAACGTTTTAAACATTCATGTCTACTGACCTTCTGATGAAGTGCCAAGATCTGTAGAGGTCGTACGTGAGGTTGACCAACATAACGGTGACACCCGTCTCCTTGGCCAGCATTGATAGGCCACCCAGCACGGCACTCAACAACACGGAGACAGACCCAGGTCCTCCACTGTGCCTGGAACAATCAGAAGTATTAGTGGTCTTTCACATAACATACCAACCAGTCTGGCAGAAAGAAATTTGTTTACCGAACCAACTTCAAAAACTGTCAGAAAAATTTCTCATTTCGCGACTATCTGTGGAATCGCAGGCAAGAATAATAACCAAGGTAGCCTAGGGATTCCCCACCATGCCGCTTCCGAGACCAGAAACGAATGCAGATCCTCACCTATATTAATAGTTCTTGTTTTCAGTTTTTAACCAGAATGAAATGGGTATTCAAATTTTTGGTAATTTTTTCAAACGTAAAATTTCATGAATATCCTTTTTCTTGTTAATTCGGACAGACGAAAAGACAAAGAAGGTGATCCAAATTGGTTATTTTCTTTAATTTGTAGTTTCGAACGCTCTTCAGAATAAAGAAGAATTCATTATTAATATTCACCGGACATCAAAACTTCTATACCATCTATCTCTGGTGTGATGTATTTATTTGTATTATTAAATTATTTGTATTTAATGATCTAAAATACCAACAAAATTCAGTAATATGTACACATTTGCAATTTGTTCATTTTTATCTACTTGCTACTAGCTAGTCTAATTGTTATAATAGTTTTTACGACGTCGGATTATAAACTGATTTTATGCAGTGACAATGACAATTATTAGTCTCGTTTCTAGCTATTCCTTTGCAAAATAATATACTGAATGACAATTACGTAAATAACAGAACAATAAGTAGTTGAAAATGTTCAATCCCCAAAGCTAATTGCTCTAAAACATGATAAACACTAACACAGAACAACAACATAAATTAAATTAGTTGCCTGTATTACAAAAAGCATACACAAATAGATGTAAATGTGTTTAAATTCAACACGGAATTCTACAAAAAACAGTGAAATTTTTTTCAAGTTCAGAATTTACACCGACACGTGTGGAATTATTCTTAACACAAAAATAAAAGTTTACTTTGAGAAAGTAATTAAAACAAGGACTGGCAAAAATAATGTATAACACTGAAAGCTCTATAATATCTTTTATTATATTAACAGGTTATATCCAGTGGCATAAAGCAGCTCTATTTTTGTATTTACAATTTTTATATTGCATGTTTAAGTGAGTTAGTACGTTTACAACCATGGCATACTAAACCTATAATAAAATTTATTCATCGCCTACTTTATTTAAGATATCAAGTTTAAAGTGTAGCTTCATTACTCGTAATTTATTAAAACTTAATTTCAGCAATATACAAGATTACACGGTAACTTAAATTTATGATCAAGATTGTCTCAAATGGGGTCAAACTAATTTTCTAAAGATATTATAAAATTTAAGATCAGTTAAGTACCGCCTGTTACTAGTAAACTTATATTACAGGTTTTAAACACATCAACACGAATAGCATACAAAATTCAACAATCGAAACGCAACTGTTAATTTGTTATAGCTTCGAGACACAAGACATTCTGTATGTCTATAATAATGATTATGATAATTGTGACGATAATGGCAAGACGTAAGTACCGCGAACAAAGTTGTCATAAAGATGAACGTGAATTGCCGCCTTTAAAGTCATTACCAGTTTAAATTTTCCGTACTAATTGGATTCATGCTCAGAGAGAGGGAGAGTTTGCTCGTGCAAGTCACCGACTACGATACGGGAAGACACATTTCGGAGCGGAACGCAGAGTTAATAATCGCATCAAGACGTAGAAGCAGTGTTTGGCGCTGTAAGGTGGTTAGGTACGGTGGCAACAGCTTCACGGCGAGATCAAGTAAATAATTTCCGATGCTGCAATTCTTGTACACTTTACAGATTCGACGACAGGAAAGGGTTTTGTAATGCAGAAGCATTTTGAAGATGGTTGTCTTCTGGGATGTCGCGCCTGAATCATCAGGGCGATCGCCATGATGATGAATGTAGCAATGACCTCTGAAAACGTCGGTAAACTTCGATCAGACTACATGGCGCAACATCCCAGAAGACAGCCATCTTCAGTCTCACAGCCGTGAAATATTAAAATCCTACAGAAGCATTTTATCTGTTAACTGGCAGGGTAAGAATTTGTTGTTAACATACCAAAGCATTCAGTCTGGAATGTTTGTTTTTAAGACGTAAAAAAAAAAATATTCGTGAGTATCCTGTTTATAGCGTACTTGTTCCTGTGGGGTAACGAAGGAAATATAGTCAAGAATTTAGCATAAATTTTTCACGCCAGACTCACAAGTAATTCGAAGAAGTGACGATTGTGATAATTTAAAATGACGTTGTAGGTACATTACCTTAATAGTTTTGGGTGAGTAGCAAGTACTTTTAGAGGAATGTTATTTTGTATTATTTTTTGGAATGCGTCCTCTGAAACGTCGGTAAGTTACTAGAAGACTACATGATACAATATCCATTTTAAGGGTTTCTGCATATCTGTCTACGTAAAAATAAATAGTTTAACATATTTTTCCACTGCTACTACTTGTAGTCGATGAAACAGATGTTGCAATTCTTTAACCCTTCTCCCCCCTCTGTTTAATAAGTGGGATAATCTCTATATGAATTCTATAAACTTCCACACTCTGTACGTACTGCAGTCAATTTTCTATAGTTTTAAATCTTTCCTTTATGGTGAATTCACCGAGGATCTGTCTCACAATTTCCTTTCTTACAACGCCCCGGAGAGTCGACGTTTTCAATCCTCTTAAAAAGAGCATTTCCGGAACTTGGATAACGTTTAGTTTCCTATTCCCATCTTCCACATCAATATAAAAATCTCGGAGAAGACATCGCTTTGTTTTCTGGATTTCTTCAACGTTTTATATTCGAGAGATAATCTCAGGGAGCATTCGATCATATCAACTATAAAGACGGGTTTAGTTCTGATTGCGTTTTTCCTGTTAATGATACAAAACTGGGCTGGGGTTGCTAATCTCTACTGCTAGCAGGAGAATTGTTTATATACGATTATATCAATACAAATATTTTACACTATAATTAAAATATTAAACTAATTCTTTTGTATAATTTGTTCAGAGAGGAGCTACCTTGTTACATTCTGTCACTATACATCAAACAATAGAAGGAAACGATCATATCATGGATACACTAATTCAGGAGCTGGAACAGGAAGTTTATTAAGATTAATCCACGAGGATGAAGACACTTCATTCCACATCAAAAGAATACAATCAATAAAACCTACATTTAATATCACAGAGTAAACTAACGTACACCCCACAATGTCATATCCAATTTCTGCATATTACGTATTAATGTTAAGCTCCCATTTATAAACAGAGTTTCCAAATTGTACATTCTCTTTAGGCTTCATGGCTATAACGTAGGCGTTTGTTCATTTTCATAATTTTTACGCGAATACACGTCCTACCTTCTCACAAAATTCCATTATTCCCTTATCAGATTCCTCTATTTCTCTGTCCCTGAAACGTCGGTTTCGTCTTTTAACCATTTGATGCGGCTGATCGCCAGAGAAGATGTTATTGAGTTACGTCGCCACGAAAGCTTCAAATATCCTATATTTCTGTTCTGTAAGCTAGTATTATTATACAATACACATTACGTAAGAAATATTTACAATTTTTGTGACATAGGTCATTCATGGCCCAATTATAGTTTACTAAGAAGAAGCAATGCTGCGAAGAGGGACGCCGCCAGACGGTAATATAAAGACAAAAAGACGGAAAACTGCAGTTTGGAACTGCCAAGTGGAACTTCTTGTATGTATATACATTAAGTAAGTTAAACTTCGAACGCCTTTTGTAACTAAATTAAGAGCCAAATTTGAAGTGGCTTATATAGTACATCGAGAATAAGAAGGAAGTCTCAAACTACGACTTGAAATATATTTTGCCACTTCCAAACACATCTTCCATCTTTGTTGAATTGCATCCTTACACTGCCATCAAGATTTCACCTCCAGAAAGTTTTACAGATAACAAGATTACTGCTCTCCATCAGGAAAAATAAGATTAATCGATTGTTAAGTTCGAGTCGACTTGTGTGTCAAAAAGATCGACGCCTAAGAACAGAGAGAGAAAGAGAGAAGAAAGAAAGCTTTTGTCTTAAGTCAAAGTTTTCAAAGATTTTGTGATCTACTACTTCTTGGACGTATCCCTTTGAGCTACACAAAATCTTCTCTCGTTATAGCAATGTTCTTCGGTACAGATAAATAAGTCAGCCATGGAAGATTGATGACCAAGAATTTCAAGTTTTCATACAGCAAATTTCTGCATTACCTCCTTTACACACGAGGAGCGTGGTTAGAGGCTCAAATATGGCAGCGCCCGTAACTGGCAATCTTCGAGGGAATTTAATTTTTTTAACAAGCCTTGAAGTCGGAACAGGCCACAGGCCTAAACCGTGAAGTTGAAGAATACCTCCTTTCGGAGTACCTATGTGAAAGGATGTGAGAACGTTTAGTATCAAACCCCACTTTTAACAGGGACTTCGCAAAATGAACGAGATTGAGAATTCTTTTAAAAAATAACTGTTTTTATGACCTGTAAGACTGGAAACAAGTACTGTTTGCTGATTT